AACCGCGGTCGACCACTAGAGCAAGTGGTCGACCTCCATAGATTAAGTTGACTGGGGCATACCTTACTCAGGTCACCAAATAGGTTGCCACGGCGCGATGGTCGCCGAGGCAAGTAATGGGTGGACCAAAGCCAAAGGTGGTCAAGCAAAGACCCGATATGAGGGTATGAAAACCCTAACCAGGAGTCTGGGTTACATAGTTCCTGTTAGGCTCCCTGATTGGAGACCTCAGGATGATCGTAACCGATGGTTTAAGACACTGCGTGCTATGACTGGGAGACGTAAACAGTGGCGTTTGTACATCTTCTCAATATTTTTGCATCAATAATCCACTGAAGTTCTCAATTTCCTCTGCCATACGACGTTAAATCTTTGCTGTTTGTCTCCCATTTTTCATCCAAATGGGCAGCGAGAAGACTGCAACCAAAAGTGACGCGCGGAAGTGCATGCCTAATGTTTGTTCGAACCGAACTGAACTGAACTGATTATATGTATATATATATATATATATGTTTAAATAATAGTGCACAATGAAAGTGAAATTAGTAGATGTTACCTTTGCCATTGAGACAAACTATTGCGAATTCCATGACAAATTATCACCTTGTGAGAGATACGGCAAAACATAATTACGATATCAGTGGGTTTTTGTAAATGATGGATTGAACGTCCAGCCTGTGGATGATGTAGATAAGATTTTTGGAAGTTCGTTGTGCAATGGGTAATAACTGTGCGAGAGCACTTTTGCTATACAAATCTCATATGCTTGTAGGTGTCTNGATAGAATCTGTAAGTTTATCTCTAATGATGCCACTACATTTAGATATGTGCTTTAGAGATCTAGCCAGTAGATACCTCATTCTCGATCACGATGAAGAAATCACTGGGGACCAGTACAATCACAACCGAGAATATTCTTCATCCGAGTGAGAATTACGAAGGCTCTCTAATATTTTCGAATGTATCCTGAACGTGATTGTGGTAAATTGAGTAATAGTTTGAACCCAAGGTATTTAACCATTGTTGATCTCAGAGTGGGTTTGTAGTTGGTGGGAAGGGCAGGTAAACCTATTTGTGAGGTTTAAGTACGATTTCGTCGGCCTACGGGGAACGAACAAATTACTGATAATTCGAAATATTTAAAGAGGAAAAACGCGACAGGGACCAAGTAACAACAGCGTTTAGCTTGCTTTGGATTTATGAAGCGTCTTCAGGGGGGGGGAGCTTTGCATCTCAAAATAACATCATCTGCTTATTTAAGATCAACAGCTGTAAAATGAATGGGAAGATGTTTGACATTCACTATAAAGAAAAACGAGGGAAAATCGCACCCGGCACGAAACCAGAAGCAACTGGGAGAGCAGGAGTTTACTTGCCCTTTTAGACAAGTGAAAAGATTTCTAGTCGTGAAATAACCAGGTAGTAGTCTACAAAAGTTTAAATAAGCACCAGTTTCGGTAACCCGCTTGAGCAATATCGATTGGTCATAAATGCCGAATACGATTTTGTGGTCTAAGAACACCATTGTGATAATCTTACACTCTCTATCTAGAACCTAAAGTTTCATGTGCAAAATATAAGTATCAAGGTTTGACATGAAAGGATGTGGAAATATGTAAAGATACAGAGCGCTTTGATAGTGTTCCTTTGGATATTTTTGTTCTTTTGAAATACTTTTGAAGAAGTTTTAGAGGGATTATACAGATAACTTAAATCAATATCGGTAAACAACTATACGCCAAGGGGCACTAACTTTCTCAGTGGAATTAAAGCAAAGCACCATTAATCTGCACCGTTCAAGAAACTTAGTAAATTGCACAAACATACACGGAGGTTGCAACACTAGATGCGGTTCTTGTTGACATACAGCTGGAACCCGTTTTTGCAGATTATAACGGAACTAGTAGTGTCAGTTGCCCATTAGTCCGGGTCAGTGGAGAGCAGAGGTACACAAAACAATTACAAAGTTCGTGTTGCGAATATCGATCGTCTTTACCGATCGTAGAAGAACAAACTTAAGTGTGAATGTATTGGTAGAATTGGCAGATTTGAGCAGCACAAATGTGTATATTGTATGTCTGGTTTTTTATATGATGCGTTTGTCGTGTAAATGACGCGTGAGCTGGTTGAGTCCGATCAGGCTACTGCTGCGATGAGTGAGGACTGACACTCGCAACAAGCTCATAAAGACGGGTTGTGCTATGAGAAATGGTCTGATCAGCTGCCCCGTGGTCCAGTGGATAGTATGTCTGCGTTCTTTCTGTGAGGTCCCGGGTTCGATCCTCAGTTGGATTGATGGAGTTCCACTACAGAAGAGATTCAACCAGGCTGAAACAGCTGTCCACTGCTTCCCAGCTTTTCAGCCCATTTCTCATTCACATGAAGAACTCATTATACATCAGGAGAATAATTCTGACTGCACTTGGAAGGAGAATTGTTTTTTCCCAGGTGGCAGCCTGTTTGATTTGGAGTATGCTGACGACGTTGTACTGCTAAGTGAATATTCATGTGTTAGGACATAGCGCACTGAACCCATCAAGCAGCGCACGTATCCCTGTCACACCGCATGCACGCTTGCGATGCACCAGGTGAATTGATTTCAGATTGAACCGCTAGATCGAATCAACTGGATGTCGTCCGATCAACCAATCGGAATGCCAAAGGCACGATCTGATTGGTGCGTCATCACGTCGTTCCCGTACACCCGATTCATCCATCTATTTATGAGTACCTCATCGTGATCATAGGAAACACTGTAGTAGTTCCATTTTGCTTGTTCGCCGAACTAAGAGAACCAATTTTCAATTTTTTTTCAAGTCTGACAGTTGTTCTACAATCTTGTTCTCTTTACCGTATTTTTGTTGGGGTCTAGGCAAGGGGCATCCGTGTCAGCCGTAGATCCAGGCAGAATATAATATTATTCCAGTCGTAAACATTTTGGGATAATTTAAGTGCTAGTTTAGCTATGTTAAATATATATTTTACACCTTAAAAGTGTAAAGTGTTGCTACAAGACTGGTTTGGTCCACCTCACAATCTCACAGGAACTGGGGAAACGTGATAGATAATGTCGACTTGCATACAGAAGACTTGACTGGTTTAACCAAATTGAGATATCTGTGGTGTCTTCGTGACAGTTAGCTGTCTGCGAAGAGTTGTGAGTATGCCGTGGCAGTNTAGGCCATTACAAATAAGACAAGATAAGGACAGACTGTCGGTGTTCGAACACCGCTGTCTGCGCACATTTCCAGAGTTCTATGGAGAAACCGGACAAGCGATATCGGGTTTAGGTGCACAGTTTTAGGTGGTTGCGGTAACCCACTGCAGTACGTCGCTGACCTTCATAAATTTGATCGGTAGGGGCGTATGTTAGGCATGTCAGTAGATCGGTTGCTCTGGCATGTGTTGTTTGCCGAGGCAGGTGATGGTGGAAAATAATAAAGTATGGTCAAACCAAAACTTGGCATGGATGTATGAAAACCCTTACCAGGAACTTTGCTGACATCGGTCGTATTCAGCTTGTCTGCTGAGGATATTGTCGTCACTGTATTCGAATGTTAAAGACAATGAGTGATATCGTTGCATGCCACTATGTCCTTGCAAACTTGGTATTGATGAATTCTCGTTTTCACTCAGAAACTGCTTTGATAATTTCCGTATGCTCTTAATTCCTCCATCAAAAAAACAAAATATATCCAGTTCTGAAGAGCCCCCTCCCTGGCACTGAATGAAGATGGCAAATAATGCTTTGTCTTTTTATAATGAGTAGTATATGAATAACTGGAAAAAATTTACACGACCAATTTCATGATCTTTATCATTCTTCAGCTATGCGTATCCGAATAAAGCATCAGCTGGCTTACAGAAGGCTCAATTGGAATTTGCCAACTTGAGACATCTATGGCGGCATTGCAACACCTGGCCGACCACGATAGGTCGAGCATGTGCTGCGCCAGTTCGACCAGTTCTGCAGTATGACGCAGAAACTTGGCAAATAGGAAAATAAGATGAAGATTAAGTGTTGGTGTTTGAGCACCATTCTCTACACCGCATTGTACGAATCTATTGGGGCAACCGGACGAGCAATGCTGAGATAAAGAGTGGAGTTCCAGGTAAGCACAGTGGCCCACTGGAGCAAGCGGTCGGCCCCCATGGATAGCATTGTTTGGGGCATGTGCTACGCAGGTCGCGAATGAAGTTACCGCTTTGGGATGTTTACCGAGGCACGTAATGAGTGAAACATAGCCCCGGGTGTTCAGAATAGAACTTGTTACAAGTGTACGAAAACCATAATCAAGAGACTCGGTCATATAGGTCGCGTCAGGACCCGGGATGGGAACCTCGAGATCGTGGTAAGCGATGGTTAGGGATGGACAGATATGACTGTGGCGCGAACGGTGGTGCTCGTGCATCTTCGCAATTTGTTTGCAACCTTAGTCTCCTGAGATTTTTCACTTTCTCTTCGACTCTACCTTTAATTTCCTGCCTTTGTCGTACTGCTTCATTAAAGAAGTAGCCAAATGACAGCAACCGAAACCGGTGCACAAAAGTGTACGGACAATGGTTTACAAAATAAAACTGACGTAATCTCTTCATGTGAATTATAAAAAGTCGGTGCAAATGATATTTACCTTGTGTTTAACATCACAAAGTCTCATCGCAAACGTAAATAATTACCAATAGAAAACGAGGAAACAAGTTGATATCTAACATCCAAACCTAAGACAAACAATGCGCTTTTTCAGTAAACCATGGAATAGATTAAGCCCAATGCAATATTTTACTAAGCTGTCATTCTTTAGGCATGAGGGCAGGCTTCACTTTATGGAGTATTACTGTAAGTCAAAATAAACATTCCTGACCGATCTGTAAAGCCTAATGAAAATGCTTCTCTATCTGTGAATAATACAAAACTCCTTTTGAACAAAATACAATGTTTAAAGGTAATTCAGGTGAATCCTTTCGTATATTATTATAATTCGTTTTGGGGAACAGCGTACCTGCGGTTTGGATCTACCTGGCATGTTTATCATTTCCGACCCGACACTCATTCCGTCATCGAAAGTCAGAAAACTGTATCTCTGGTGTTCCATCGCCTCGCGGTCTGTGAACCGGGGACGATATTTACCCTGACCGCATTGCTCGTCAAACGATTTGCTTAGTGGTCCATAAGTTTCAAATAGAACAGTCGCATTACGTCCAAGCAGAAGGGAAAACTCCTGCCAGAGAGAACAAACAATACCAGGCTTGGAACGAAATTCAAATGACGCTTAATCAGGAAACATATCGTATTGAGTGTATCGCTCACCGAAATATTATTCACTATCCGGGGAAATGAAGAGACTAGTAGGACTCGTGTCACAGTATTGTCGAGCACCTTCATGAAACGTTTTGAGTCGATTGTGGGCAAATGCTTCAACGATAACTTCTGAATCGTGGGAGCATTAGCCAGCAATGGCAAAGGAGACATTATGGATGAACGGCGTAATCGTTCATCGCTCTCACTTGCGGCAGAAAACTTGCGTGGTTGGCTTGTCATGTTGCACTATATACAACTGTATACCTATTGCTCAGAAATAAAACGTTTGTTTACATGCGGTAGATTAAAACTGCGCTGAGTTAATCAATGGATTATCAAACAGCTAATGATATTATCACCGCTGAAGCTCATCACGTGATTCTGTCGCGTGTATCATGTGTGAACGTGTGACACCATGTGATGGCCGAATATTGGTTATGTTGGCTGAAATTAGTGTTGACTGGATTCAATCTGATATTGTATAGTTTTTGACCCCCGATGAGAAAAACGGCAAGTAATTGTGCCAAGTGTAGCAGTATCATTTTTATCTCTGTCTGACTTGGTACCAAATCAGTTGATTCTAACATTGATATAATTTCCGAACAAAATCACATATGAATATGTGGTCCTAAGGACAAATTAATAAATGCATATTCGTTCTAGTATAACTTTTGGATCAACTATTATCTATATGGGAAACGCTGGTGGTGATATTCAGCATTTTCTATATAGATCCAACCATCTTTTTACAACGTAAACCTGTTAAGAAAACGGTATGCTGGCAATTTTTTTGCGAATTTTCAACTGATGATCCGATTTTTTGTGATTGCAGTGTTCCCGGCGTCGGGATCATGCTCATTTTGCGGAATGACCGTGAGCTTCTGGACCGAATTTAGTTCTGTTTTCGACTTTGTACTATAGGATTAGACGACTCATAGCTAGTCCTCAAAATCAGAACAAAGCGTTCGTGCTTATTCGCCGGACAGTATTCATGAGGCAGACGTTGTAGTAGTTAGCGGCTCGTTAGTCAGGATTATTCCATTTTCGTTGCTCCTCAAATGTGTGTCATATAAAAGTATGGAAGTTGTCCGTACTAGGACGAAGATAGCAGAATCAATGTGCTACCCGCGGTAAGCTGTTGATTGTAGATACCGATAAAGTACAATATGCTCTGTTTGGTCTGATTGCTCATGCGCCATGCGTTTTGCACCTTTGAAGTTTAAAATGATCCCATGATATAGGGCTGAACCAGTTACCTGTCTCGCTCTTCCCGGTCGATAATAAAGAATTTATTAAGAGTTAACTATTTCGACAGCTACAACTCTTCTAAAGAACGTAATTCGGATTAATTGTGTGTATAAAGAACGCTTGGTGAGCTTTTGGTAGGTTGAGCCACCTGTGAAGCTGCAGTTGTGTTTGGTTGTCTGCAAAGGGTCGAAAATATTGGATCAGCCAGTGCTGTTTTACGGTAATGAGAAATTTATGTTAGCGCAAAAAAAACAAAATCATCAGTTTTCAAACTCAGCCGTTGATCATCAATATTTGATTCAAGTTTGGCAGCTCAAAATTCCAGGGACCAGATTAACATAAGGGTAATCGTTAATTGAGGTTACTCACAAATGGATTACTTCTTATCCATGAGTCCCATTGACTAGGGTACCTATCCTGCATTTCACCGAGAAAGATTTTAAAAGTTACTGAGTTTTCCAACTCGGGTAGTAGATTGAATAAGGTAAAAATAAATGTGGGTAAAATCCGAGTCACTCGGATAATGTGACGACCCTGGTGAGTGAAACTGTACATATAAGTCCCGTTAGGCATCGCGGATGGGGAAGTAAAGACCAAATCATCTGCTGATCAGAAACAGTGGACCATACGGTTGATGTTTGCACATTCTCTAAATTTCTTCCGGATTTTGAATTAATTAAGTTATCTATTGCAATTTGGTGTTGCCTTCAGTTTTCTACTTATTTTCTCTTCTCGTCCTCCATTCAAGGAAGTAGCGCAATTGCTGCAACTTAAAATGAGACACAAAATCGCAGGCGTAACGGCTGTATGAGCCAGGCATCTATATGTCCTTACCACGTATAAATATATCCAGAATAATAGAAGAAGTAGGATAAGCATGGGAACGAATTCAGGGTCTAATCTGTAATGAATCAAGAATCAGCTCTGATTTTACAAACCACCTGGAAGATCTTAGATGTAAAAACATTAATTAATGTTTCACGGGCCCAAGATATTTCCAATGATAAGACTATCTCACTCCAAGATTCAGTTCTCAGTTTGCACAGTTGATGACATTGTATTTTCGTGCAACAGTTAGAAGAGTTCATCATGTCAATTCACTCAGTATATCGATGATAATAATAAGTGGAGTAATAAGTGGAGGTAGTAAAACGATGAGATAAATGAAAAATTTGATGCGCATAGAACAGGTAAACTAGGTATACGTTGAATGTGTTAATACCGATAGCCGGGGTCATCCTCCTTGTGCAACGTTGATTTCTCTGCATAGATCGGATTGCTGTGGCAAACAGTCGACCCTGAACAGCGGCGCAAAATATGTATCAAGGTAGCAAATTTCAATCTAACCTATTTATTCTCCCGGAAGAGTATGTCGCCAGTATTTTCATCTTTTGTTTTAACATTTTAGATGAATACGATTTAGGGACATACGTTTTCCTCACATTATAAATGTGCTGTACGCCTCTAGATTCTCTTATCTCAAATGTACAGATAACTATTAGTTAATGGATTATGCTCCATAATTTTATTTCATTTGAGAACACTCCGTTTTGAAAATCATTCAGTGAAGAATAGTTTCGTATCTACTTACTCATGCTAAATAGAACAGATGCATTATGAACAGGGTATACATGTGACGAGAAATTACCTGGATCAACGAGGCGGATGTAATCTGCCGTGGTATAAACAACCCTGCACAACTTTATTGTTTACGGTTTTCTTGCGAACCATCAACTGATCCATTAAAGTGCCCTTCATCTTGTGTTGGATAAACTCCATGGAAAACCTTAAATTCATGACGAATTAGAGTAAAGCGTTCTGTTTGGTGTAAACCACTTCAGTGGTGATCCATACACTTAAGTGAACCCATCTCAGTTGTGCTCCGCGAATAATAAATTCTATAAAATAATTCGTATCGATTTGGAGTATTGTGCTAAGTTCTGGTTTGGGGGTTGAAACCAAGAGCAACGGGTTCAGCTTCAAGACGCTATTTAGCTTATCACATCTGGGTTTTCTTTTTGAAGCTGAAACTAAGCCGTGATCTTTCACCCTGTGAAATCGTCTTTATGTAGGCACTAATTGGTTTTGACCGCCGATGCTTTTATGAGCGTTTTATTCGATTTTATACTGTGGAATGAGTCCGAAAAAAGTAACTATAGCCTGTTGTGGTTTGTGGGGCTATCATCTATGTTCGTCTGATAAGTCAATATACAAATAAAAAGTCCATCTTTCTCCATTCCCATTTGATGAAAGCTATTTGCGTAAATAGGGGGTCTACAATACACAGTCAACTGCGGTGCACCTTGAACTTCAAACTGAATCATGAAAGATCCTTGTGCATTCGGGTCGTTTTACAGTCATATATCAAGTATTGTCAACTTCCATCTGCGATGTCGGCATACAGTACCACGCAACTACGAAACAGACAACATCTTGTGTCCAGCATCAACTGGAATGAGACCTGATCTTGCGACCCGATTCGTCTCACTTTTCATGCACAATACAATAACCAAGTTAGATTGCGAATTAACTTCCATTTGGTGTGATGTTTGTTAGAGCAAATTAGGCAATTGTTTAGTCCATAACTGAACTTCTCAGCAGCGTATACCGTTTAAGCATTATTCGGTGGGAGTGGACACATTTTGATCTTTAGACATTAACGCCGGCGGTCTTAATTTGAGGTGACTAAGTGATACCATTCTCTACGTTGGGATTTCATATTTATTGAATACTTCTAAACAAAATGTAGCTTGCGATTTCGAAGTTTTGTCAAAGAGCCGATCATTTGGATCATTGGTGCTGTATTCCTGTATTCGTTAATGTAGGTCACATTGCAGTGAAAGATGAGTGGATAATCAATAATTTATTGTGTTTCTATTATGAAAAGAGTGCACCACAGTTGTGTGTAGAACAGTGTGCCAAATAGGCCCACATTTATCACGGACTCTAGGTAACATGGACGGTAAGTGTCTGTGATGGACTAGTTCCTCTTGGTGGTTGATACTAATAATCGCTATTAACGTTTGTATCGATAGCTAAAATTCACGGGACAATTACTGCCTATTAATCAGGGTAAATCTTTCGAGTTCTTATCGGTACACGTAAACTAATACAGCTGTTCTCACCAATTGTTACACTCCGCTTCCCTTTCCCATGTAGTCCGTTTACTTCAGTGAAATGCTTTCCATGGCGGTCAATGAAACACCTAGTTGCTATTTGAAAATAGAATAATTTTATGGGCCAAAATTGCTTATGTTATGATATCAAACTGCGTTTTCATTCCATCCTGTTTTATGGGTATATATAAAAGCAGTATATTTCACTTTCGTTCCCCATCTTCAACCATGCTGCTCAAAAACATACATTGATCCTATGGATTGATAGATCCTTTCTTATTAGTTTCCACGCTGATGTAAACTTTTATCGGTATTTGTTCCTGGATATAGAACTTTTCCACACGCGCTCTATCCATGGCACTCCAATGCGAATTCATGAACCAGGTGTGGAGTAATTCAGCCCATCCATGCAATATTTTGAACGGAAAACTGCCCAGCTTGATTTAGCATCTTGGCTAAAACGATCGTAAAATGGAACCAAACGCAAGACGTTTACCTACTGGATTCATTCCATCACCTCATGTGTAATGATTATTGATGTGATTGATAGTAGATCGATTTCAATGAATGTGACGGCCACATTACAACTGGCTTATTCTGCTATGCACCGGTGTCAATCATTACAAGTATTGGTGGTTTTGGTATGAATAGTGTTGCTGTCAATAACCCATCTAACCCTATTGAGGCCTTGTGTGGTTCAATTTCCAAACTGAACAATATATCCCCGTGATCACCGTATTTAATTTGCTGTATCTTAGCAGAAATTAAAACCTGATGAGAGATAGAACATCTCTTTGCGGTGAATTCTGGAAATTCAAGTAAGATAACAGACTTTTCAACTTATTACTGCAAACAACGGTATATTCCAGTTTATTT